CCTCCAGGGTCAGCGTGTCGGCCTTGGCGATGACAGGAACGATGTTCACTACTTTGCTGAGGCGCTTCATAAACTCGATGTCCAGGGGCCTGAGGCTGGAACAGAATGGCGTGGATGATGAGCGTTTGGCCAAGGGGGTCGGAGGGATGGGGACAGAACGAGAGTGGCAGGGCTGCCTGCCTCTGGCTGGATGGAGCTGAGAAAGGGCCCTCAGGGTGCCCGTGGGGGCTTCCAGGTGGGGACATGCAAGCAAGGCCAAGGCCGTGGGTTGCGCGCCGGCCAAGCCCTGAGCAAGGGACAGGAAAGAGGAAGAGAGCATTCCCCAGACAGAAGCGCCACCGGGCTGGGCAGGAACAGGCTGGAGACCAGGCCGGCTCTGAGCACCGTCCCGGCTGAGGTGCCCTCTCAGAGAGGACATTGCTCACACAGCTGCGGGGCTTCCCTTGGGAGGAAGAGGAGGGAAAAGCGGGAGGAAGCCCCAAGCAGCTCTTGGCCCACCCAGCCAAGCCTCCGGGACAGGCTGCTGTCCGGGGCGTCCCCAGAACCTGGCCCACGGCCCCGGCGTGCCACCCGCCCCCAACCGGAAACCCGTCCTGAGCGGGCGTGGGGGCAGAATCGCAGGGCCCCTGAACGGCGGCCACCATCCTCCGCCCCGGAGTAGAGCTGCGTCCGCTCTTCCCACACGGCGAGAGTAGCAGTCACAGACACGGCATGGGGTCTGAACTTGGACGGCAAAGAGCCACCCGATCACACAGGACTTGGGCCCAGGGGACGCGGCCCGCGTGGCACTTACGAGTGGCCGGTGGCGGGGATAAAGTACAGGCAGCAGTGGACGCGCGTGTCCGGGATGCGCTTCTTCCGGTTGATGTTGACCTCCTCCTGCAGGTACTTCTCGTACTGGTCGTTGATGAACTTCATGATCGGCTGCCAGCTACAGGGAGAGGCCCTGTCAGCCTGCACCGGGGGACGGCTCCCGCCCGGTCTTCCCCAGCAGGCCACAAACCCCCAAATCCCAGCCCGGTCCTCAGCTTTCCAGTAGAACGACCAGGGGTGTGGGGCTTTCTGAGCAGAGACCGCAGCCTTCCCTGAGAGCTCCCAAACCAGCCTCCCATGCTGACCCTTGACCCCGGGGGGGGGAGGGGGAGGGACAAGATTCTCAGGGTAACTGTACGTTGGCCCAGGGCTGGGGGACCTCTGAGGGTTTAGCAGCAGAGCAGGCCAGGAGACAGGCCCACGGGCCCTTACCAGTTCTCATTGTTGATGTGGTCCCCGAACCCTGGTGTGTCAATGACGGTCAGCTTCATGCGGACACCCTTCTCTTCAATATCTGCGCAGAATCACAGCGCCCATGAGCTCAGGCGAAGACCCCAGAGCCTTACAGATACCTGGCATGGGCTAGGTCCTGCCCGGTAGGAACCTGACCAGCCCCACCCTGAGGCCCACTTGGGGTGCCCATGGGTGACCAGCGATGGCCCCCCCCCCCGGTGATGCCAGGGAGAGGACCTGCCTCCAGCAGGGGCTGGTGACAGATGTCTTGGGCAGCCCCTGCCCGTGGGTTTTGGTGGAAAACTCAGGTGTCTCTAGGGGGCTCTGTCGGACCAGGGCCTGTAGGGGTCCTGAAGAGCATCCCTGACCCAAGTTTCAACTTGCCCAGCTCAGGACTCAGCACCCCTGACACCCTGCATCGACACCCCCAGGCCCACCCCGGCACTCACCATGCGTGATGGACTTGATCTCAATGGTCTTGGGGATGCGTTCCTCCGATGTGGGCTGCACCGACTTCCGGCTAATTTTGGACTTGAAGAGGGTGTTGATCAAGGTGGACTTCCCCAAGCCGCTCTGCCCTGGGGACAGGATGGGAGCCAGTCAGCGGGCCCTGTGGTTCAGCAATACCTGGGCACTGCCCCCCAGCACCCCACAGTGGGGGCCCCAGGTTGGGGGAGGTCAGGAGGCAGGAAGGGCTGGGATGCTCAGGCAGTGGCCCAGCTCCCGTGCTGCCTTGGAGCAGGACAAGGACCCAGAGGGCCCAAGAGGAGCTGAGATGCAGAGCAGCCCCGGGGAGTCCGAGTGGGGGGCTGGGCAGCTCTCCCCTTCACAGTTGGACACACCGAGGTCATAAGGTTTGAAGGAAACTCTACAGAGCCCCAGGACCACAGGACGGAGGCTCTGCAAACCCGCCAGGGTCTAACCACGGCTAGGCCACCCACGCTGCTGGGTTCTGGTCCGAAGACCCTGGGACCGGGCTCATCTAGGTTGGAAGTGCTGGTACGCTCAGCATACAAGGCCTGCAGCCGAGTGACCACGGGGCTCGGTGAAAAGCCACTGGGGCAGTTCCTGCTGGGGCAGGACGGGGGCCCCCAGACGGTGGGCAGCTGTGTCTCGCTGCCAGGAACAGCCAGCGGCCGGTCCCCACGTCCACAGACCCTGCCGCTGAGACTGACTGGCCAGCGAGCCCCCGGGGCATCAGGCCGCCCCCCTATGTGGCTCCTTGGCACCCGGGCCCCGGCAGTGTTCCTGGCCTTGCTGTGCCCAAACCTCACCTCACCGGGCCCCTCCCACAGCAGGAGGGAGAGGGCAGAAGGCACGGTGGGGGGAGGGGGGCTGGACTCAGCTGTGACCAGAAGGCCCCTCCTGCTCACAAAGGTCACGGATCTACGGCTGGCCTTGCTGCCGCTGCAGAACCCTAGACTCCGCGCACAGTGCTCACCACACTCGCGCTGGGCACTGTCCTAAGTGAGGCTGTTTAACCCCCTCGCATGCCCAGGAGCCGTCACCGTCCCCTCTGATGGATGAGAAAACCGGCACGGAGCCCAGCGTGGGGATGGGGACCGTGCAGCCTGGCTCCAGGGCCCCGCCATGACCCCGCCCCCCGGGGTCCACACAGGGAGTGCCTCACAGGTACGACCCCACACGGGGAGCCCCAACACCTCACCCCTTCCGGAGCTGCCCTACGCCATGCTAGCCAATGTATTTAAAAAAATTAAATTACATGAATTTTCCGACTTTGATAACCGTGCAAGAAAAAGCGTGGGCTCCCAGGACGCTGTAGGTGGACGTCAGGAATCCCGGGGCCAAGCTGTCCATGTCCCCCTCAGCCCACCTGCTTGTGTCCCTGCCAGGTCAGCCCAGAGCTACGTCAGACATCCTGGCCACTGCGCCGGACAACTGGGTGATGCCGACGGGGACTTTAAAGCGCAAACCGTTAGTAGGATTATCATCCTTACCAACCCTGCTGCTGCTTCTGCGACTTCCCCACTTCCCCAGGGCCCGTGGCCACGTGGCAGCCACACACGGTGTCTGATTTGTCCCTCCCCATGGTCCCACTTTATGGATGAGTAAACCAAGACTGAGAGAAGCCCCAGGGAAGAGAGGACAAGCACCACACTGCTGAGTGGGGGCAAAGCCGGGATTCCACCCTGGGTCTGCAGACCCCCAAACAGACGCCCTCCCAGCCCAGCTGCCTCCCTGCTGTGTGAGGGAGGAGGGAGAGAAGAGCTCGGGCTCTCCCCCAAGTGAGCAGAGTCCTTGGGGTGCCCTCTCTGGGCCTCACTGCTGCCTACAAGGTGGGGCACCCTCTTGGCAGGGCTTCTGTGAGGACCAAAAGGGCTTCAGGAACAAGAGGCTGCCCAGTGCTCCCCCAGGTCTGGCCCCCAACCTGATCAAGGCCGGGCTAATCGATGACCTCCTCTGGTGTCCCTCCAGCTCTGCTGGGGCCTCCAGGAAGCCTCCAGCCGGGCCTGCTGGCCGTGGGGGGCCGGCCCCACCCCTGAAGTCCAGGGCTGAGCCACAGCGGGGTGAGGCCGCTGGTCAGCGAGCTGCCGCACCAAGCACCTGCCCGGCGTCCTGGGTTTCCTGCGATGAGGAGCCGAGGCCCCTCTGTGGCGCAGACGGAAGCCGGGGCCCTCCTGGCAGGCACACGGGCACACACGTGGTCCCACGCACCATCTGCCCTGCGGGCCAGCTGTGTCCACCCCCGTTTCTCAGAGGAGCAGACTGAGCCCCAGAGCCCGCGGCGTGGGGTCCCGGCGCAGGGCGCGCACTCACCGACCACCATGATGTTGAACTCGAAGCCCTGCTTCATGGCCTTCCTGCGCATCTGCTCCAGGATGGAGTCGATCCCCACGTAGCCGAAGTCCGCGGGGGCCTTCTCGTTCCGGGGCGCGGGCGCCTGCTTCAGCCCGGCGTCTCTGGGGGCTTCGGCCATGTCGCCAACGCAGCCAAGAGCTGCCTCAGGGGCTGTGGGGAGACCGGGGTGGGGGGGCGTCAGGGGGTCTGACATCTACAAAGCACCTGCATCCTCAGGTGGCTCCAGCCACCACCCCCGTTTCTCAAACAGGGAAACTGAGGCTCGAGACCCCTACAGAACACCCCAGACCTAAAGCCCCCCCCCCCACAGTGCCCACGGAGCCCCACGCTCTCCACCAGTGGCCTACGAGGTGGTGTCCTTCCCTTGGCTCCAAGGCAGAGCTGACTCCAGCCCTCCTCTTCCCAGCCTCCACCCTACCCCAGGGCATCCAGGTGGGCCCTCTCCACCGCCTTCACCTGGCTCAAAAGGCCCCCACACCTGCTGCAGGACCCTCAGGGCCAAACAGCTGAGTGTTTGGGCCAGCCTGTGAGCCAGGACAAAGGAGAGGACAGCCTTCTGAAGAGCGAAGGGAGGACCCGGGTATTTGTTGTCGGGCAGCTCCTGGGTGAGGTGTGTTAGGTCCCAGGTCCCGCCAACAGCCCCGCACGCAGAGCATGCTCCTCCCGGCCCAGCGGTTCCCAGGCAATGGCAGGCAGACAGGGCCCTGGGCCAGCTCCCCGCCCCCCACCCTGGCCTGGGCCCAGGGGGTTCTTCTCTCTGCCTGGCACCCGTGTGCCCCACACCCACAGGTTTTGCTTTCAGGTCTGCGGATGGGCAAGCGGGACCGAGCTTCTAGAAACAACTCAAGCTTCTGCAGTTTGCAGATCAACCTTCCTCCCTTCCTCCCTTGGCTGCCCCGAGGAGTCCACATGCCCAGGTCAGAAGCCTAGCGAAGGGGCGGCCGGAGGCACCCAGGGGGGACATGAGGGGCACTCCCCCAGTGGAGCTGGTCTGGGTGCTCGGGAGAGCATGGGTCCCTACCAGGGCCTGGCAGGAGCACATCGGCCAGGACCCGGCGCACCCCTAGACACACCACACTTGCCTGACCACACCTCTCCTCGGCCAGTCCCTCAGTTCCCCTGGCGGCCTTCCCTGCCCTCGACCACTGAGAAGAACTGTCAGCTCCCTCCCACCTCCCAGGGATGCTCACGGGAAGAAAGCACATGGTGCATCTTCACATCTCCCTGGGCCCACTCGGGGAGGGGCTGGCTGGTTCCCTGGGCATCAGCCCCAGAACCCCCTCTCCTGGGTGTGCCCTGGGGGCGCAGGACAGGTAAACTGTTTCCACTTCCCGGGGAAGTGACTGGACTCTCCCCTGCAACCAAACCCCAGTGCCAAACCCCAGTGGGCCCAGCCAGCTCCCACCTCCGCGGCCACACCTCTGCTTTGCAGGAGCGTCAGAGGGAACCGACCGTGGGGGCCAGCACCTTCTCCTTCCGGAAGGAGGGTGATCAGCTGATAAATTCCAGAAATCGGAGTGTGGGTGGTTTCTCCACACAACGTCGCAGCACAATGTCACTCAACTTCCCCGTGTGCTCAGCCTGACAAAGTGCCGACTTCACAGACTCGGGGGTCAAGCAAATAACAGAGCCCACGTAAAAGCACTAGGGACCGTCACGGGTCCCCGCTGCCCACCCCCGCTCCCAGGCCGGGGACAGGCAAGGGACCCAGGAGGCAGCGATGACAGCGACGGGGCCTCCTTCCAGCAGCGCCCGGAAGGCATCTGCCTCTGCTCCCTCCTGACTGTCCCCGAGCTCCAGCATCTTTAAATAAACAAAGACAAGCGCCGCATCTGGCCTTGAACATGTGGTTGTGGGGCTGCTTCCTGGAGACAGACATGGGGCCTTGTCTTGCAGGCCAGCAGCTCAGCCCGCCCCACGTGACCGAAAATTGCTTCCATCTGCCTGAGGGTCTGGGAGCCATTCAGTCCGGGCCTGGGCCACCCCCCGCCCACTCCCACATTCATCCCTCATCCCCTCCGAGCCAAACTGGGGGGAGGGGGAGGTGCACCAAGGCCCCTGGGACCCCCCTCCACTCCCTCCTCTGCTCCAGCTGCCCCCCACCCCCTAGGCACCAACATCCACTGCAGAAACTCAAACCACAAAGCAAACATCCTGCCCACCAGCACCCTGCTTGAGAAATAACAATAAAAGCACAACAAGCCCCATCCTTCCCACCGACTGAGGGAAGGGCCTGGCCTTTGCACAGGTGGGGGTCCCTTCCTGCAAGGCCCTCCTCTCCCTGCCCGGAGGGTACCCGTGGTGATGCTAGAGCTCCACTCTCCGCTCTGCCCGGCCAGGAGGCAGGACCTCCACGCGGGGAAAGCAGAGGCCCCATCAGGCAAACTTGCCCCGAGACACCTTCTCTGACAACTCTCGCTTTCCACAGAGAGCCACCAGGGTGGCTGCTCACAGAGCCCTGGCTGCTCCGGCCGGCTAGCAGGGACCGCAGAGACCATCTCCTCCAACACCGTCCCAAAGGACTTGTATGATGGAAAGACCCCATGCCCACGCTGTCTAAAATATGGCGGCCACATGGGACTCTTTTGTTAATTGTGGTGAAATACACATAACATGAAATTTACCATCAACCATTTTAAGTGCACAGTTCAGTGGTGTCAAGAACATTCACACTGTTGTGCAACCAATCTCCAGAACGCATTCTGCCTTGCAAAACTGAAACTCTCTCCCCATTAAACACGAACTCTACCCACCCCACCCCCCGCCCCTGCAGCCTCCATTCTACCCTGTGAATCTGGCTAGGGACCCCCATAAAAAGAGGAATCTTCCAGCGTTTGTTCTTTGGGGGCTGGCTTATTTCACTAACAGCATGCCCTCAAGGTTCACGCACGTTGTAGCAGGTATCAGAATGCCCTTCCTTTTTAAGGCTGAGAGTCCCTGGTGTGGCCAGAGCACATTCTGCACGTCCATTCGTCCCTCAATGGACGCCTGAGTTGCTTCTGTGTTTTAGCTCTTGTGAGTAACGCTATGAACACAGGTGTGCGAATACCTCGAGACCCTGCTTCCAGTTCTTCTGGGTACCTCCCCAGCAGTGGGATCGCTGGGTCATACGGCATTCGTATTTTTAATTTTTTGAGCAACGGCCACCTGTTTTCACACGTGACTTCTGAGCTGGAAATGCAGCCGGTCCAACTGAGGAACTGAATTTTTCATTGTATTTAATTTTAATTAATTTACATTTAAAAAGGGACCCAGGCCAAATGGTAAAGATACTGGACAGCACAGAAATCTAGTTCAACCTACTTCTTTTGTAAATGGGGAAAATGAGGTCCCCAGATTTTTTTTTCCCCCTGAAACGCCATCAGAAGCAGCCAGGCCAACATGCGATGACCTTCACGCATTTACTCAACCCCGAAACCTCACATTCACTGCTGTGCCGCGTGATTACCGTCCATGTCCCCCCCAGACACACCGTGAACCCCAGGGAGCATGGCAGCTGGCCTGGTTGGATCCCCCCTGTACGTCCAGAGCTGTACAGGGATGGGACACTCAATCAAGACTCATGGAATGACTGGGGTTTTGGGAGTGTCCCCTCGGTGCACGCTGGGTGGAGGACTCTGCAGTCCCAGGCTGGCCCACAGCCCCGCCACGACAATGGTCAGACCTGCATCCAGTCCACCTCCCCCACTGACCTCTCCCTGGGGCTGGGGCCTCACACTCTTTCCCATGGCCCCACACCTGAATTTGGACAGCGACGGGGCCTCCTTTCAGCAGCGCCCGGAAGGCATCTGCCTCTGCTCCCTCCTGACTGTCCCCGAGCTCACGAGATGCTATTAATAGCAAAGGGATGTTCCTCACAGAAAAGAAAGTTTCACATTTATGTCCCAGATGACACTCTCTGCACCCTCATCAGCTAAAGAGAACAAGAGGGAGCCCCATTTTTTAAAGATTATTTATTTGAGAGAGAGCATGAGCAGGAGGGGCAGAGGGAGAGAGAGAATCCCAAGTGGATTCCATTCTGAGCGCGGAGCCTGAGATCACGACCTGAGCCGAAACCAAAAGTCAGATACCCAGCCAACTACGCCACCCAAGCGCCCCAAGCCCCATTTTTTAAAAAGAGTCACTTTTTAAGTAATCTCTACACTCAGCATGGGGCTTGAACTCACAACCCCGAGATCGAGAGTCACATACTTCACTAACTGAGCCAGCCAGGTGCCCCAAGGGAGCCCCATTTTTTAAAAGTGTAAAACTCAGGTTCAGAGAGGTTAAGTAATTTACTCATGGTCACACAGCACTGCCTGCCTTCTCTCACTGTTTCTGCCTGCCTCTTGGGCAAGGCAATGTGGAGAGAGAGCAAACTGCCAAGCCCGTCCTTCCCCTCCTCGGAGGAGAGGATGCCGGTTTGCTCTGGGGGTGTGGGCTCCCGTGCACTCCCTCCCCAGCAGCCCTGGGTCAACAATTTCTCCCGCCCCCTGCCCAAGGCTCTCAGGCCCAGGGTGACGTCATTGCCTGCCAGGCCACCAACCTCCCCCAAGGAAGGAAGGCCCGAGACCACCCAGGCTGGGATGACCCTACACACTGGCTTATACCTTCCTCCAGCCTAATTATCCTCTTGGTTGTGGTAACATTTACATAACATAAAGTTTTGACCATTTTAAATCATGTTTCGGTGTCTGTTTCGTGGCCTGCAACCCATCCACGATGGCCACCACCATCTACCTCCAGAATGCTTCCATGACCCTCGACAGAAACCGCGCCCACCGACCTGTAACTTCCCCTGCCGCTCCCCCAGTGGCCTCTAGTCGACCTTCTGACTTTGTGGATTTGACTGGTCTACGGACCTCACGCAGCCCTGTCCTCTGTGTCCGGCTTCTCTCGCCCAGCCTGACGTCCTCACGGCCCATGCGTGTTGCAGGACGTGCCGGAATGTCCTTCCTTTTCACGTCTGAACAACATTCCGCTGTTTATTGTGCATCCGCCAGCGGACGCTTGCGTTCTTTCCCCCTTTTGTAAATGATGCTGCTGTGAACACGGCTCTGCAAGGGTCTGAGTCCCTGCTCTGAATTCTTGTGGGGTGTCCAGCCTAATTATTAACAGAACCCAGGTGACCCTCAGAGAGGCACAGTAACTGCCACGGTCATCCTACCGTC